TCCCTCATCCACCCGTTGGAGAAACGATAAGATCGCGCGAAAGTGGGATGAGGATGGTTCGTTCGACGTGTGCCCCTCGCAATGAGGGGGGTCCACATGTGGCCCATGTTGCAACGTCGCCTCGTCGATCGATTCGAAACATGTCCGAGCTGCTGTGCTGTGCTCTACAGTACATACGGTACACCACGGCCGTTGGAAGATGTGTTATCCGTGCCGAGGACATGGTCCACCTATGCATGTCACATGCCGTCGTATCAGTATCTCGTAGTAGTGGAGCCAGATACGAAATCGCGATGAGGGACCTAACCGTGTCTTCGCAACTTCCTCTTACAGTTGCGGAACACGTTCCGCCATTGACAGTCACGCAATCGACTCTCTCACAATCCTTCCAGCCCACAACACCCACAATCAACTTCACACAGTCTCACTCCACATCTCGCTCTCATCGCGATCCCATCGGCGAGGCTGTTCTCGGCCGTTTCTCGTTGGTGACGTGGGCTGATATCATAGAGGCCGTCGTAATGCAAGTGGTCGCTGGCCGCACTAACCGGCGACTACGAGCCACCTCGGCCCGACTCAGGCGGTTCGCAATACAAGCTTCGCGGTGTTGAGCGCCGTGTGGAAAGTGCCGGGTAACGCGGCGCTGCGCTCCTCGTCATTCCGGGTGGGAGTGATCGAATCGGAAGTTGCCGCCGACACTCGCTCGCTGCCTTTTGGTAGGATCTATCGTTGAGGCATTTGTAGGCGAGGTGATGGGATGAATAAGGCCGGATCGACTTGCTTGCGAATGCAGACGTCGGTAGTTGGTTCATGTAGATGGTCATTTGGTCTGAAACACGCGATGCTCTTCGTTAGTGATCAAAGTGAGGATGTGCAATAGAGAGATTGGCTGATTGAAGTGACGAGGCAATTTGTGCCTGCCTTGTATGAATTGTGTTTGTGTCTACTATTGCGCGATCTAGCTATGTCTATCATCTATAGCGACTGCTGCAGTGACTCTTGCTGAAATCAAATGAGGTACTACCCAAACGCCGTGCTATGCAGAAAGGAAAGCAAAGAAGAGAAAGAGAGAAGAGAGTCAAAAGACATCTACTCCTCAAGCACACCAGTCTCCATCATGCTCTCCCGGAGAGCCTTCTTGTACTCGCGCTCCATACCGTGCCTGACGGCGTCGAGGACGTTCTTCACAATAGCCTTGGGCTCAAAGCGAGGTGTGGTGCCGCGCTGGTAGACACCAGTCTCGACTAGGATAGAGTACCAGTTTGCGGAGTCGGTGTGCTCGTTGTACTCGTTGGTACCCCTCACATCGGACTCGGGTGTGTCACCTACAAAGTAGACGGTTGAAGGAGCCGAGTTGATGCCGTGGGTATCGCGACGCCACTCGGCAAGAAGGCGGGTGGCGAATTCGAAGGTGCCAATCTGAGGCTTGCCAAATGCGGTTGTCTTGAGCTCGCGGCCAGTGACAGCCTTGAACATGGCCTCGAGTGAAACACGGAGAGCGCCCATACCAATACGGGTAAGGTCATGCGAAGCACTCCAGACGACATCATTGTGGGAGAAGAAGACTGGTGGGCCTTCGTCAAAGTTGGCAGATCGGGTTCCGAGACGACCGTTCTTCGACATCAGCAGGTCGAGGATGATCTGCTGATCCGATGCCCAATCGCGAGAATCGGCGAACACGAAAATGGCGTCAATGTCGACCTCAGCGAAGTTGCGGACTCGCGAGTTCTTGTATTCTTCCTCAGTGAGCTTGCGGAAGGGTGTAGTATCTTGGTTGTCTTTGATGATGTCTCCTGGAGTAACGCTGGAGCAATGTTAGTCGATGTCATGAACAGAAGTGACGGACCAACTTACACATCCTTGAAGCCGTAGCCCTCAGCGACAATGCGGCACTTCTCGCCCTCGCCTCCAACAACGAGGACGGTGTTGTACTTCTCTGCCATCTCCCTCATGGGTGTGTGCCCGCAAATGAACTGTCCAGGTGATACTTCCATCTCCATCTGCTTGCTGAGTTGCACGCAGCGTTCGGCTTCAGTCTTGCCACCACCGTTTGTAACGAAGATGTATGGTACAACAATGCCGTACTCGTTCTCACCGTTGAGCATCTTCATGGCTTCAACGGCTTCAGGGATGGGTCGTCCACCTCGGATGAGGACACCGTCGATATCTAGGATGCGTTAGAAATAACTTGCTTTCCCATGGTGACTAACATACCAAAAGCGAAGGCGTATTTGTCCGTAACTGATGTCTCTGGGGGAGTGTAGCCAGGAGATCCAGGAGTGTTGGCAGCGTCAAGGTGATGTCTGGCGGTCTCAAAGGCACTGGCGATCTCTGATGCTTTTGATGAGGGGGCCATGAGATGTTGTGGGGGGACGACGACGGTTGGGCCCATCTTGATGTTCTCGCTGGTAGCCTCACTGGCAGAGAGGCGGCGCATGCCCGTTGCAGGGGCTGCTAGAGAAGGTGCCGACATGGTGATGGAGTGTGTGGTGTTTGGGTTCGAGGAAGTTTGCAACGTGTGTTTGTTGCAAGGAGTTATACAGTTGTGGTTTGAGCAAGATTGAAAACGCTGGAAGTCCAACAGCCTTTATAGTTTGCGAGCCCGATAGATAGGTAATGTCTCCAGAAAACCCCTCAAAGGAAGCGGAGAGAACTGTGGGTATGTGGGTATGTGGATTTGTGGAGGTGGGTTGCTGGTTGGTTTGCGCGCAGATACCCAGAGTTTTATACCGAAGAGACAAGGTAGTGTGTACTTCGCCCCCTACACTACTCAAACGTCCACTGCAACTCTAGCGGCACGGTACACTGCGCTTCTGCGTAAATGTGCCGGACCCTGAACGATAAGGGTATGGCTTGGGATTCTGTTGGATGGCATTGCGTAGATCTATGGCGTCACTCGGGCAGATTGAGGGCAAGGGACGGTTTTGCAACACCGGAATTCGATAGCGGTAGGGAGAGCCCAGGCGTGCGCTTCTGACATGTGGTGAGAGATTGTGGCATGTTTCTCGATGCCCATTCGACAAGTAGTCTGGTAATGTTGCAATAATAGTGGGTATGACAGTCACGGTACAGGGCCTCCTGCATCTCAGGCGGTCTCAAAGTATTGCCGTCCCATGCGCGCCATGTGGTAGACGGCCGCGGTTGGTGTTGCTGTGGAACTGTGTTGCAGAGTTTTGAGGGTCTTTTGCGCTAGTGATGTCATATCTGATTAGCTCGCATATCGCTTCGGCGCCTTGGAACAGCCATTCGAATCGGCTGGGGCATCCGCAAATGAAGAGCCTCAGGGACTCAGGGCAGGCGATGCTGATGAGTCCCTTTGGAGTCTACCAGCTCCGATCGATAGCTCCTCGTTTCCGGCGAGAACCATCCGGCCGACAATTATCGCCAAGTATCGGAAGCTAGATGAGGCAACTTGAGGCTCAAACGTAGGCTATCTCGGCAGACATGCCAATCCGTCTTAGGCTCTTGGGCTCTTAGCCTTCGTCCGTCGTCACCATATCGAAAACTGACCTCGACTAAATAATACAGCATCGATAGAGACGAGATACACCTGCGATTCCATGCGCGGGCCTTATCGCTACCTTTCACATGTCGAATGAGACGACTGACGCACCTCTCTTCCGAGTGTAGGCGCGTGCATTGAGCCATATCTCCCCAGCTTACATGTGGTGGGCCGCGAGTAGAACCAGTACCCACAGGCATAGTCTCAGGCCATAGCGCTTGACGTAACTGTACATGAATGTACACCGCAACTGGCGGCGCATGTGCAGTATGGACTGCGGCGCCAGGAAGCATGTATGCCATCATTCCGCATTATAGGATCGGGCTGCCATTGTGGATACGAGTGGTATTTACTCAAAACCAGGCTCAACACCTGGTATAGAAAAAGACAAAAAGAAACCTCGAGAACGAAAGTTGAACGACTGTTGACGATTAGTGGTTGGCGTAGTGGACGTAGATTGAGGCATTTGGGTGGGAACGCAACACGAGTGCCTGGTCAGTTTGGGAGAACACATTTAGCGGCCAGTCAAGTCGCGCATCCTGTGCACATTGGCGCTTTCAGAATGCCGCAAGACCCGTTTAGGACCGGAATCCCCTCTGCAAGGAGCAATGATCTGAAGTAGCTCCAGCATTATGCAGGAAGCGCACTTATCGCGACCGGTGTTTTGGCTGCGAATTCTAAAGAGACGGATGAACGGGGTTTCGTTGGAGGTGGTGGACCTTTGTATGGGGCTTTGGTCGTCGAGCACGTTCTTCTCCACCTCTCCACGATTTCCCCAGGAGTTGCCCCAAAGTTTTCGCGTTGTGGATAACTCTAAAATCGGCTTTGCAGAACTGGAAGTCCTCGCATATGTTGCTGTATGTGTTGAAGATGGTGTAGCAGCGCGATGATCTTTTAGGTCCCTTCTCCACCACCCTCTGGCCATGAATGTAGAAGATTTTCTACACCCACGGGGTTCCCGTCGCAGGGTCTCGGCACATCTGCGGCGGTCCACTAGTTTTGCGGAGGGAAGATGGAGGAGGCGCTGATCGATCAGGAGATTGGACCCTCGCATCTGTAGTCGTTTTGCCGCCGGCACGACAGATCCGAGCATGAGTCGCGCAAGACACTCGAGCTGTACAGCTGAGTCTAACCGAGGAAGATGAGTAGGCCAGCGCTACGAGAGGCGGAGTGACGTGCTGCAGTTGTGTTGCAGCTTCGGGGTTCATGAGGGTGACGTGAGAGAGGAGCCGCTGAGGGGAAGGAGCAGCCCATCGCCAGTCGGCAAGCGCGCGCGCAGCACCTGGGCAGCTGCAACGAGCAAAGTGCTCATCCCCCAAGCACAACACAGGATATGCTCTCCGTCGGCCTACGCACATTCAGGACAGCAACAGAAAAACTTCGACGCGTTCGAATATGAACTGGACGGGTGGCTCGCTACAGCGCACCAAGAAAGCCAACACGGGCGTGGTCCAACAGCAGAAAGCATACTTCGCCCGAGCGCGGACACAGCTCCAAAATGATAGTAATTCTCCCGTCGCTCCCTTTCGCCCTAGCTATTTGCAAGACGATGAAGACTCCTACCTTTTAGGCATAGCACCATTTGGCTCAGGCTCTCTGCGACACACGGGGCACGCAGCAAAACGTCGCAACGAGAGAACGCAGCCTGAGCACACGCCAGGCAACTATCAGCCAACCGCAAAACGTCGTGAGACAACACCCCATGGAGAATCACACCCAAACGATCGGCTTACTCATAAAGGTAGTAGTGACGGCTCGTCACTCTTGCCCAAGTGACCGCAGATACTAATCAATAGATAGACTTGCGTGACGGAAAACGTCAGGCCTCCGAAGTGGATACGGAACTACACTTACTCGAAGCGAATAGGAAGAGGCTTTTAACACAGAAAGATTGGGTCGGCATCGACCCATCGAAGCCGGTCAGTCTGCGGTTCCGCTCGAGCAGAGAGAAGAGCAAGATCGGCAAGCGCAGAAGAACGACAAGAGGACGCGGTGCAGCCCCAAGACGAAAGGACAAGGATGAATTCGGGAATGAAGTCCACAACTTTGCGGACGATGCCTTTGCCCAAGTCCTTGGAGATAGTGGTCCACGCCAGCGTCTAGATGATGTTCGAATCCGGATTGGCACAGATGCAATGACAAACACTTACTCTACACAATTGGACCAATATGCGCAGTCGCATGCTTCCTCTGAATCCATGCTTTTCGACCAGGAAGAACCGCTTGCACAGCTACGCTCGGCGAAGCCACCTGTCGACCTTGAGCTTCTTGCAGCAACTAGTGCTTTCGAGCAAGCTGATGTTGCTTCCCGTGCGCCATCGACCGGTGAACAACCTCAGCACTATGGCCTTGCTCGGCGCAGTGTAGCTAGCCCTTCTCCAGACGCTTCTGAGCAAAAGAGCTTTACGGGTGACCAGTTTGAGCTGCAGTGTCAACCTGCGACGATGACTTCTCGTGAAAACGAGAGCTCTACGCATGACTTCCGACTCACACACCATGCTTACGGGGAAGAGCGCGCATTTCGTCTCGCCTTCAGCGGCTCCAACTCTACTGCAGGTGCCCGTGGTCGCACTGCATCGGATGGCAACCAGATCGGTGAGACAAAGCCTTTTGACGATCCAGACTCGGTAGGTGAGTCCAAGACGGGATATGTGCATCAGCGCAATATTGATAGGGAACAATCAGTCGGTGTTGACGTTTCTGGTGCCAATACAATCGTCGATGAGGGTCCCTGGAAGACGTATCTCGCAATCTCCGATGGTTCAAGCCACTCCGACAAATCCATTCTATCCAGAAGCTGCGTCCCGCATGATTACCCCACCAAGAGACATAATAACGAAGCTGCAATGGACTGGTCACAGCATGCCACTCAAGGTCAGGGCAACGAGAGTCGCATTAGCTCGTCCTCCGTTTCCGCCTCTTTGCCGTCTTTGAAGAGAGGTGTAAGAAAACCAATATCGGCGCATGCCTCCGACATGGCCCTCATTCGTCGGGACAGACCGGTCAACGCTGCTGTGCAAAGTCTGGACGAAGACGAGAAGAATTGGCAAGCGTTTGTTTTTCAGACCGACGATAACGATCAAGGAATGCATGATCATGCATGCAAGACATCCCCGCTGGTTCCAAAATACTCGGAGAATTCATCCTCAAGGTGTCTGCCACTATCTCGTGCCGTCAGCTCTGTCAGCCCTGCAACGTTCGAGTCTAGACCTCGAATTGCTTCTGGCACGGGCTATGACGCCTTGGAATCCAGAGCTTTAACGCCATCACCATTCCTCAACGACGATTCATTGGGACTTGGTGGATTTGTTGAGGGAGTGAGCGGGAATAAGCAGGGCGAGAAGATGTCGGGTCGCAAAGTGTTCGACGGGCAGTCCCATGCATCTCTGCAGAACCACGCTTCCTCAGACATCATCTCCTCAAGGGTCTTCAGTAGCACAAAAACGTCCCGCAACCTAGATGGACATGCCAGCGCCGTTGCACAGCATCCAACATGGTCGAACAGACGTATATTGTGCGGTAATTCGCAAGGGTCTTCCTCCGGCTGCGATATCCTGACGAGCGATGATGGGGCACTCCACCTCGTCGATCCTAACAAACGTTGACAAGGTACATGCTGGTTGGCCGTCTCAGTGCGGACGCGGGATGCCTGAGGCTGAAATTTGGTGGAAAGTTTCGGCTCTTCCTGTAACATGGATTCGCCATTTCATGCCTATCGATATCGCAACGTCGTACCATGGTAGGCTAGCAATCGGCGTGCGACCTACTGCCATGAGCGAATCAAAATATTTTATGGGGCCTACATGTTCTCATTGGTGCAGATTGTGTACGATGGGCAGTTCATGCCGCAGTCCGGTAGCATGAGCTCAGCTCAGCTCATGGACACAATAAGATTCCGATCGTCCGCGCTGCTCAACATCCGGACAGCTTCGGCAGCGCAAACATGGAGCAGCAGAGTGATGCAGAAGCTCAATGCAGAAAGCCATGTGAAGATTCCGATATGAATGCGTGGAGGATCACCCTTCGCACGGGGAATGGGTACAGGGCACTGAATGCATGGTATCTCGGCCAGAGATGCATGTCATCGTTGCAAATGTTTCGAGCAGGCTCAGAGCAGGCGGGGCTACGTGCAGCGCTATTTCGGGTGAGCCCTACGAGTTGTGACAACACAGTGCCGGCCATCCTTACTTAGCGAACGGCAACGACGACAACGGCGAGCCTACCGGATATGCGTCCGAGGGGCTGCGAGAGGACGCTGGTGCCCAAGGGCCGAATGCGGTGCCACGACATCAGGGCATGAAAGGAATCAAGGCATGAAAGCGGCAGCTCAGAATACTCACTGCGCATCAAAGAAACGATTGGACAAAGCGCAACGATGGACTTTGATGCATCACACCGCCCCAAGTCACATGGACAGCACGAAAGTGGAAAGCCCGGCACGTTGGCATCGTGTGCGGTTGATGTGCGGGGGCGTTTGTGGTTTGATTGGCAGCAGGGCGCCAGGGGCAGGAATCCTTCCTTCTCGAAGCTGTGGAAAGTTTGTGGAACAATCACGCGACTCGCAGTGGCAGGGCGATGCGGATACGAGCATTGGGCGCACCGCATTGTCGCGCCATTCTTTGTGAGGAGCGGGACGTGCTGGAATTGTGAAGCAGCCGAGTCGGCTGCAGCAAATTGAGGGGCCAGCAGAAGGTTGGAGGGCGTCGACGGCGGATCCCTGACTCTGCGCCGGCCGTCAGAAGCCGGCTATGATGATGGAACCGTTGTGCCGGCTTCGCACTTGGGTTTCACTTGCCCGCGCGCCACGTGTGAGAGATGGGGGATTCCACCGCCACACATGGGGCGTTTGCAGCGCCGATGCGACTGGCTGGCGGGTTGTTTCCAGCGACAGTGGGCGGAATGCAGTACACTCATTGCTTCGTGTGACTCGGACTCACCGTCTTGCTGTGCCAGGCCAGTCAGAGCTAGCATACCGCGCGCACACGATGTAGCAAACATGACGACGGCGCATCAAAGTTTTAACAGGCCAGCGCAACATACCGGTGAGTCAAAGCTGATCGACGACACACGAACCGAACAGCATCAGGGCCGCTGAGGTTGCTTCTTCGTGCAGCCATGCCATGCCCGCTCCGGAAGGCACGGCATCGTGACAATGGGCGATGGATCAGACTATGGAGCATGGCTCCCTGTGATGCAACTCGGTGGACAATGAACAAGAGCAGAACATGCACTGCCCTGTCATGGCATTGTGCCATGCTGCCGCGCTGGGTGCCTGTGGAATGCCGTGGCCGTGATGCTCAGGCGTCGAACGGTGAGGCGCCATGATTGGCGGACCCCATAGTATAATCATGGGCTGCGTCATACAGGACACCGTTGCTCAGTGGGGCCTTAACCAGTGTCGCGGCTCTCGCAGTCGAGCGCTAGGCCAGGAGACAAACAGGGAAGTGCCCTCGGAGCCCGAATTGAGCGGAGGCGGATGGAAGCCCGAATGACTAGGAGTCAAGGGATAATCGTGTGCTTGTAAGATTTAGCTGAAAATTCGGTGAGCGCCTTGTCTGTTCCTGGCCCAAAGACGGCCGCCAAGCGCAGCCGTTGCCCATATACTACTACCTGTCTGCCCTACAGCCCACTCCTCTCGCACACTATCCACCAACTATCCACACTACGCCCAATTGCAGACGCACAAGACCCTCACACCACCGAGTATTCACCACCAAGTCCACCACCTCACTCACGATACGCCGCCTCACCACACCCTTCTCCGCATTTCCTGCAGCGCCCACTCGCGCGCTGACTGATTTTCGCCCGCCCTGGTCTGCCGACGCGATTCGCTTGCAACCCCCACGACTGCTCCGGAGTACTCAGATCCCAAATTATCCATGCAGAGTGCATGCAAGTCAATTCTCCAGTAATCCCAGCTGACCTGCGTCTGCATCTTCGCGCAGCGCGCGCTTCCCAAGCCCGACTCGTCATAGCCCAAACGCATTCCGTCAGTCTCACGATGCGAAGCTGCTCCTAGCCTACGCTTTTCCACCAGGACCCAGCAGGCTGTTGATCCTGTCTGCTTTTATTACCCAGAGGCGCCCGCTCGCCGTTACGCTCCTTCTCCCTCACCACGGCCCGCGCCATGAAGATTTACTAGCCCGCCCCGTCACATCCTCTTGCTTGTTCCACACCACCAACCATGTCGCTGCTGCACGACGCCATCTCGCGACCGCGCATGCCCTCGCCCTCGCCCAGCTTCGGACGCGCCATCACCATACCCGCCCGCTCCAGTCCCGCGCTGACGGCCTCGTACCTCAATGGCTCTCTCAATGGCTCCCTGCAGTCCACGCCCGAGGGCATGGTGCCCGTCTCGTCCTCGCTGCCGGCCATTCCCTCCTACACCCTGCCCGAGTCGCTCCTGCCTCCACCACCCGTCCAGTCGCCGCCCACGTCCTCACCGTCAGCCATGGCCGAGGCCCTAGGAAAGGGACCAGGTCTGATCCGCAGAGTGAGCCGCGGCGCGCAGGGCATTCCAGGTCGCTTCCGCCGAGGCAATGCGTCTGCGCAGCGCGACAAGAGCTCCGGCCCTGTCATCATGCGCCGCCGCAGCGACAGCAGGACTGCCGCCGACGCCGACACTGGCATCTCCGACTTCGACGCCTTTGAAGAGGAGGAAGCCGTAGAGGACCCCTTCGAGCCCATCCACGGCCTCGGCATCTCACACCCAACCCCCAGCTTCAGCTCGATACCAGACGCTGCCGTCGTCGCGCCCGTACGCAACTCGCGCCTTGAGCAAGGCACCGTTCTGAGAAAGATTACCAAGAAGGAGAAGAAGGAGATCAACCTGCGGCTCGATCTGGAATCAGCCAAGGTGTTCTGGGATTCCTCGCGCCCCTCCAAAGCCTTCTACATCGACGATGTCAAGGAGATCCGCTCAGGTCCGGAAGCTAAGCACTACCGGGAAGAGTGCAACCTATCCGAGAACTGGGCCCCCTACTGGTTTACCATTGTCTACACCGACACAACACGCTCCAAGGGCCGGATACGGACAATGCACTTGATTGCGCCTGACGTTGGCATCTTCAACATGTGGACTCAGACGCTCGAGTCTGTGTCGCGCAACCGCATCGACCTCATGGCCGGCCTCTTGGGCTTTGCCGACAAGAGCGCGAAGCTCGTCTGGCAACGCGCAATGAAGAAGCGTGGCGAGGGCGACGAGACACTTGACTTCCCCAGCACCGTCGAGCTGTGCCGAAGTCTACACATCAACTGCACCGAAGCCACCCTTCGCGCCTACTTCCAGAAAGCCGATACCCTCGACGCTGGAAAACTAAACCAATCGCAATTCTTGTACTTTGTGCGCCGCCTCAAGGAGCGCAAAGACATCAAGGCGATCTACAAGACCTACACGTCTGGCTCAAAAATTGAGATGGACAAGTACACTTTCTTCGACTTTTTGCAGCGCGAGCAAGGCGTAGACGTGAACGCCGATCTCGAATACTGGACCAACACCTTTGAGAAGTTTGCACGTGCAACAAGACCCAGAATGGCTGCTACTCCGACCGAAGGCGGAGAGGTCCCATTGCCATTGGCCATGAACTTCCCCGCTTTCCAGACGTACCTGACTTCGGCTGCCAACTCCATCCTCAAGCCAGTCGGCCAGCCACAGGAACTCAACCGACCATTGAACGAGTACTACATCTCCAGCTCACACAACACTTACCTGCTCGGCCGTCAAGTTGCAGGTGAATCAAGCACTGAGGCGTACATTACTGCGCTTCAGAAGGGCTGCCGATGCCTTGAGATCGACTGCTGGGATGGCGCCGACAACATTCCGGTCGTCATGCACGGCCGCACTCTGACCAAGAGCATCCTCTTCCAAGACACCATCAAGGTCATCAACAAGTACGCCTTCACAGAATCACCCTACCCAGTCATCCTCTCGCTTGAGGTGCACTGCTCTCCAGTTCAACAGTCTGCCATGGTCAAGATCATGATGCAGGAGTTTGGCGACAAGCTGGTTCTCCACCCACTAGACTTTGAGTCGCAGTCGCTACCCTCACCAGAAGAGCTGAAGCACCGCATTCTCATCAAGGTCAAGCGTGCTGCTGGCGATGAAATCGACACCAGGGCCCTCATGGGCGAGATCACCTCCCGAAGACAGCGCAGCTTCAGCTCTCCGTGGTCGAGACCCGTGATACTGAACGACAACCTCATCCCAAACTCGCCTCTTCTTTCCAGCCCGCCTTCAATGAGCCCACCAGAGCGAGCAGCATCCTTCTGGGCGACACCCCGAACTTCAAACAACACGCTACCCACCTCCGCAGCCGTGAGCTCAGCTGAAGACAGCGACAGCCCCAATGCAACCACTGCCGAGACTGCTGAGGTAGTAGATGATCGCCGTAAGCCGAAGAAGGCCAAGACCAGCAACATCACGAAAGAGCTCGGCAACCTCGGTGTCTACACAAGGGGAGTTAAGTTCACAGACTTTGGCAGCATGGACGCAAACACCTTCAACCACGTCTTCTCTATCAACGAGCGTGCTTTTGAGAAGCTCACCAAGCCTGGAGCCCGTGAGAAGCACTTGCTTGAGGAGCATAACATGCGTTGCCTCATGCGCGTCTACCCTCACGCCTTCCGCATCAACTCATCGAACTTCGATCCTCTCAAGTTCTGGCGTCGTGGCGTCCAGATGGCTGCGCTGAACTGGCAAACCTATGACCTCGGTCAGCAGTTGAACGAGGCTATGTTTGCTGGTGGCGAGGATCGCACAGGCTACGTGCTAAAGCCAGCCGCCCTTCGTCTTGAGTCACAGACCCCAGTCATTGGTCACAGGAAGGCACCTAAGAAGGAAGTCAAGTTCACTGTGCAAATCATCTCTGCTCAACAGCTCCCGCGACCCCGCGGCCTCGGGCAGGAAGCCAACATCAACCCGTATGTTGAGTTTGAGATGTACTGTGCCGAAGACATGGGTGCGAATGCCACCGGTATTGGTGGACAGGACGCATCTGCTCGCAATGGCCACTCTGGCATCGGCAACCCTCTGCGTAAGCGAACACGCATCGTAGAGGGCAATGGCTACAACCCCGAGTTCGGCAACGAGATTGATATGACAGTTACGACTAGGTACCCCAGCCTTGTCTTCGTCCGCTGGACTGTCTGGAACTCGCTCGATGCCCGAACCACCAATCACGCCCCTCTGGCTACATTCACGGCCAAGCTCAACAGCATCCAGCAAGGCTACCGCCATCTCCCACTTTACGACAGCAACGGCGAGCAATACCTGTTCTCCACTCTCTTCTGCAAGATCAAGAAGCAGGACATTGTCGACG